CACTCTATGACTGAAACTGATTGACTAAAGGCTATATAAACATAGTAAATGGGTGTAAATACCAGAGTAGTGTGTGGGGAAGAGGAGGGCCTGAGGAAGGACATTTAGAAGAAAAATACGGAGGAAAGCATTAATGGGACAAAGAAATGTGATATTATCTGTTGAAGCTATTTTACAGTTTAATCACCTGGACTAGGGAGAACTGTTCACATATTGAAATATTCACTTTGTAAGCTAAATAATGTGATTGAATGTACAAAGTAAAATAATAAAAAAAAAAAACCTTAAAAAAAACATGTTTATTACCTCAAAAAAAAAAATCTAGCCCCAAGATAATTCCCACTGAGAAACACCTTTTTTATGCTCCTTTTTTTGAAAAAAATAAAAAAATCCTATACTTAGTAAATCTTTACTATTTTCTTTTAAAAATTACCTTGGAAACATAATCCTTAACAAAAGGCTTTCATATAATTGATTTACAGAAAGATTCTTCATCAAAATATTCCACACTAAGTTTATAGGGGATGATGAGATCTAAGTAGCACACTGTATTTGAAAGGCATAATTACTTTCAAAAGCTGTGGCATAACCACACTTAAGGACTAACTGCTTTGTTCCCAAATTCCTGGGGTCTTGTGTGAGGGGAGTTCTACAAAGGCCTGTATTCAAGTAGTTCAGCATCCTCAAACCCTGGAGGGAAAGACTCTCCCTTCCTGTGCCCACCCTACCACTGTGTGGTTAGTTCTCCGATAGTCCTCAGTTTTGCTCTCTAAGCTTCAAATATGGAGTCAGAGTTAAGGGCCAGAATTTCAGGGAAAGGCCCAGAAATCCCATGAGCTCAAAAATGATTTCAGAACGTCACATTTTCCTAACAATGATATATGTCAAAGTCTTCCAAATCCTGCTGGTTGTTTTGAATTAAGACTATACTGGCTATATGACCCTCGAGCTTCGCTTGTCACATACTTGAATTAAATCATGTAGTTCTTCGCTTCTTGTATCTGGGGTCTCTTCATTGGGTCTGTACTCCACAGCTATTTTACCAATTTCTGAAATAAAGTTAAGAAGGATTAACTCAGAATTGTCTTTTTAATTATTATTATTAGAAAGAGATTTTTGCTATAGGGCATGTATGCTTGCCAGAGAGACAGAAAATGAGAAATCATCCCGCCAGGGAGATCGCCTCACCACATCCCTTCTCCTCCATTCTGACCTTGGAATTTGGGGCACAAGGCGAATGAGCCCAGCGTGAATTTAAGCTGCTGAGTCTGAAACTCAAACTATGGTCCACTAAGTGGAAGTCCTGCGATGTAACCATTACGTCATCAATGAGTCATTTCTGTTGATCTTTCTTTCTCTCTCTCTCTCTCTCTCTCTTTTTCTTTCTCTCTCCCTTTCTTCCTTCCTTCCTTCCTTCCTTCCTTCCTTCCTTCTTTCCTTCCTTTTTTTCCTTCTTTCCTTCCTTCCTTCCTTTCAAAGTTTTATGCCTTAAGGCACATGCCATTAGAGACACAGTGAGAGGAAAGTGAGAAACCATCCCCCTGGGGGGGTGACCATGCTGCAATACCTTCTCTATTCTCCTTTCAGAATCCTGGGCATACACACACACATGCCTGGCAGGAGTTTCAAGCCACCTGGTCCAGACTCAAAGCGCAGTTGGCCAAGCTGGGGTCCAGGAAAAAAAAACACTACACCACCTGTTGGTCCCTTTTTCTGTTGATTTCTAAGGTTCTTTTTGGAGAAAATAAGAGTACTTTTCGTGAAACACCATCTCACACTTCAGTGCTTTTGCTTGTTTGTTGGCAGGACTGCTTCGGTGACCCAGTGGAAACTACAGGCACACACCACACTTGGCCTTTAGGTTTGACCAGGAAGCAAACCCAGGCCTCCTGCACGGTCCGAGCAGGTAGAGCACAGCATCTTAGCAGCACACAGAGCTGGGCCTTATACTTTAAAGTAGCACTATTTGGTTCAAAAAACTATGATTTTAGAGATTGGAACTAAGGAGTAAGGACATAGGAAATTAAAAATGTGGAAGCAAAAATGTTCAGTCGTCATATGATTAAACAGTAAGGCATTAATGGGGGTCAAAGTAAGTTCAAATGTGGGGTAGAGCCTTTGCACTCTATCCAACAATAGATACCTCATATTAGAACCAAGGAGCAACTGTCTACTCCCTAGGAACTGAAATTCTGCCAGATACAATGGACAAAAAGCTTCACAGAGAGAGAGAACATTTTGACATTTGCTTGGCAGAAACCAGCTCACGTACCTGAGGACAGAATTCTGACTACTTTTCCTGTTCTAAGATACTTGCCAAGGGGGTTGGGCGGGGTGGGGGAGTCACATATGCACTCCTTAATTCTGCTATAACAGATCACTTGGGTCCAGTGATGGTGGGGTACTCGCTACATCCTGTCCCTGGCATAGTATTATCAGACACAGAGTAAAGGCTTTTCTCCGTTAAACACTGGCATTCTTTTTGCTGACTCAAGTCTTTTAAAAACAAAGATCTGTGCTTTTAACCAATTATTGGGTTGTCAGTTAAGTCATGACAAATTTTTGCACACAAAAAAAACATAGACAAATACATTACGGGCACAGCAGGTGGTGTGGTGGTTAAAGCGCTAGACTCCCACATGACTGACCACTGTTTGAGTCCCAGACCTGGCAGCTTGCTTTCTCACCTTCCCCCTCTCTCTTTCTGGCCAAAGTTAATAATAATAATAATAAATAAAATTAAACTAATGATTCTTAAAAAAAAAAAAAAAAAGAAAGAAACTTTCCCAACAACCTAATACCAATGTAAAAATTTCTAAACCTTCCTATAATTTACAAGTTCCCCCTTCCAGATGTCTCATCTTTTTAGACCAGGCCAATGTTAAGATTCCTTATGCTGATTTGCAATTCTGTCTCCTGCTCTCAGAAGCGAGTACAAAAAAACCACTCACTATATCTGAATATGCAAAAGACACTTGTATATTTTTATAAAGAGTTACTTTATTTGTTATTTATATTTGACCAAAGAGAAACAGAGCAAGAGAGAACAAGAGAGAGAGGGAAAGTGAGAAAGAAAACCACCAGGACCAGGACTTGAACCGCAGTTGGCCATGTCAGATTCCAGTGCCCTTAACCACCACTCCACCCGCCATCCCAGAAACTTGTATATTTTTATAACCAGAGCTTGGTAATTTCCACTGACACGTTTCTACTGGCAACTGCAAAGGGACTAAGAGAGGAACCAGAGCTCATTTAGCGAGTCATCAGAATCTGTTGACAGGTATCAGTGTGGTGGTCTCTCTGTCTCCTGCCCTGACTTTGAGCTTCTCTTCAAGGAAGATTAGAGAAGTTCTCTGGTCTCAGACCTCTCAAAACCTTGGTAAATGATCTGGTCTATTCTATGCTGTTTGGTCCCTTTCGGTGAAGCTTAGTTGAATTAGAGAAACCTAATATTTGAGGAGGGTTTTAAGGTTTGTGCTATAGGGCACCTGTGCTTGCGGGAGAGACACAGAGAGAGAGGAAGTGAGAAATCACCTCCCAAGGGTAATGGCCACACCGAAGTCCCTTCTTCTCTATTCTCCTGCTGGGACTTTGGGAACGCATGCACATACACCTGCCATGGTTTTCAAGCTGCCAGTCTGGGACTTGAACTGCAGTTGGCCATGTGAAAATCCAGCACCTTAACCACCATACCACTTGCTGACCCCTGGAGCAAGTGTATTTATTCTAAAGGGCCTTTCTCCTCTGCTTTTTTAAGTTACTTTAATTGGCTTGATGTGAATAAACATGGGAAATAAGACATCTAAAGTTAAATGATAAGAAAATAATCCCCTCTGACACCCTAAGCTAGCTTTGTGCGTAATAATCCTGGTATCCTAACTTGTACATACTTGTGTGATTAAAAACCCATTACAAAAGGTGACCTAAGTTTGGGGAACCAGCAGTTAGCATAATGGCTATGTCGCTGGACTCCCACGTAGTCGACTGCGGTTCGCGTCCTGGACCCGGTGGCTTAAAACTCACGCCGGGCACGTGTGCGTGCGTGCCCAAGATCCCGGAGAATGGAGGAGAAGGGATTGCGGCGTGACCATCCCCCCTGGGGGGTGATTTCTCGCTTTCTGTCTCTATGTCTCTCTCTGTCTGTCTGGCGAGCGCACGCGCCCTATAGCAAAAAACCTCTCCAAAAAAAAAAAAAAAAAAGTGACCTAAGTTTGAAATTTCTCTTGGAGAACTTTTCTATCTTTATACATTTTAATCTTTAAAAAATTTTTTAGGTGCCAGGAGGTGGTGTAGTGGTGAAGGTGCTTGACTCCCACATGGCCAACCATGGTTTGGACCCAGCAGCTTAAAACTCACACTGGGTACATGCGCATGCCCCAAATCCCAGGAGAATGGAGAAGGAATTGCCGTGTTCCATCCCCCTGGGGAGTGATTTCTCACTTTCCCTCTTACTATCTCTTCAGCGAGTGTAGACAACCTATAGTAAAAAACCTTAAAAATGTTTTTTCTTAGGGGTCAGCAGATGGCAAGCGTTTAAGGCACTGAACTTCCACATAACAACCACAGTTTGAGTCCCAGACCTGGAGGCTTGAAAAATCACATTAGGCATGTGTGTGTGGGCACCCAAAATCCTAGGAGAATGGAGAAGGGACTGTGGTATGACCATTCCCCCCTCCCCCAGGGGGCAATTTCTCACGTTCTCTCTCTGTGAATGCATGCCCTCTAAGGCAAAAACCTTTTAAAAAATTGCTTTAGTTTTTCTGTACCCTAAGTTAGAAAAAAAGATTAGGATCAGGACCAGCAGATAGCATAATGGTCATGTTGCTAAACTCCCACATAGCCAACCTGGTCCAAGTCTCAGACCTGCAGGTTTAAAACTCACGCCAGGTGGCTTAAAACTCACGCCAGTCATGTGTGCGTGCATGCCTAAGGTCCTGAGAGGATAATGGAGAAGGATTGCAGCATGGTCATCCCCCAAGGAGGTGATTTCTTGCTTTCTGTCTCTGTCTCTCCAGTAAGCACGCACAACGTATAGCATAAATCTCTCTCTCTCTCAAAAAAATTAGGATCTTGTATTAAGAAAATGGAATTCCTACTATACTTAGGATTTAATGCCATCTAAAGCAGCAGATTTAAAGCCATCTGGGACCAGCAGCTGGTGTAATGGCTACGTTGCTAGACTCCCACATAGTCGAACATAGTTCAAGTCTCAGATCTGGCAGCTTAAAACTCACACCAAGCTCATGTGCATGTATGCCTCAAATCTTCAGAGGAGAAGGGAGGAGAAGGGATTTCAGTGTGGCTATTTCCCCAGGGAGTGAGTTCTTGCTTTCTGTCTCTCTCTGTCTCTCCAGTGAGTGCACATGCGCTATAGCAAAAATTTCTAAAGAATAAAGAGGAAACGATAAACTCACTTCCCTTCAGGAAGGTAAAAAATATACATATGAAAAATGTCTCAGAATTTAAAAAATAGTAATAGAAGCTACTTCTAAAATTAAGAAGGCACCGGAAACTCCCTCTCTCACTGCCCCTGTCTAGACAATTCCATCTTTTCTTCTTTTCCTATTCCCTTCTCAAGGTCCTCTGAGACAAATATTGGTAGACTGATCAATTTATAACTATAATCCAGTGACATATTCATGATTTTTCTGGTAAATTCATGAGCTTCTTTGCTTCTTTTTGCCTATTTGGAACCTGGTGGGGTTTTATTTTTATTTATTTCTTTTTCTTATGTTCACTTGTAGTTTTATGAGAGAAAGATTCAAGACTGTTTGGAAACTTATTTTTTTCTTACTCAGGTTCAGCCAGTTCTGCCTAAATTGTAAACATTTCAGAGTTAACTCATTTAAAACAGAAATAGAAAAAAAAAATTAAAAAGGTTTTTGAAGGAACCAGACATGAGTGTAATAGTTATGTCACTGCACTCCCATGTAGTCGACTGTGGTTCGAGTCCCAGACCCAGTGGCTTAAACTCATGCTGGGCGCGTGTGCGTGCGTGCCCAAGATCCCAGGAGGAGAATGGAGGAGAAGGGATTACAGCATGGCCATC